CTCATTAACAACCTGCATTATGCAGATGACACAGCCTTGCTTGCTGAAAGTGAAGAGGACTTGAAGCACTTACTGATGATGATCAAACACCACAGCCTTCAGTATGGATTACACCTCAACATAAAGAAAACAAAAATCCTCAAAACCAGACCAATAAGCAACATCACAATAAATGGAGAAAAGCCTGAAGTTGTCAAGGATTTCATTTTACTTGGATCCACAATCAACACCCATGGAAGCAGTAGTCACGAAATCAAAAGACACACTGCACTGGGCAAATCTACTGCAAAAGACCTCTTTAAAGTGTTAAGAAGCAAAGATGTCACCTTGAAGACTAAGGTGAGCCTCACCCAAGACATGGTGTTTTCAATTGCCTCATATGCTGTGAAAGCTAGAAGATGAATACGGACGACCGAAGAAGAACTGACACCTTTGAATTGTGGTGCTGGCGAAGAATACTGAATATACCATGGACTTCCAAAAGAATGAACACATTTGTCTTGGAAGAGGTATAAGCAGAATGTTCCTTAGAAGGAAGGATGGCGAGACTTCCTCTCATGTACTTGGGACATGTTATCAGCAGGGATCAGTCCCTGGACAGGGACATCATGTTTGGTAAAGCAGAGGGCCAGAGAAGAAGAAGAAGATCCTCAACAAGATGGGCTGACACAGTGGCTGCAACAATGGCTCAAACATAACAACGATTGTAAGGATGGCGCAGGACCGGGCAGTGTTTCGTTTTGTCGTACATAGGGTTGCTATGAGTCGGAACTGACTTGACGGCACCTAATGACAACAACATATGCATGGGAAAGCTGGACAATGAATAAGGAAGACCAAAGAAGAACTGATAACTTTGAATTATGGTGTTGGTGAACAATATTGACTATACCACGGAGTGCCAGTAGAATGAAGAAATCTGTCTTGGAAGAAGTACAGCCAGAATGTTCCTTAGGAGCAAGGATGGTAAGACTTTGGCTCATATACTTTGGACATGTTATCAGAAGGGAGCAGTTCCTGGAGAAGGGCATCATGCTTGGTAAAGTAGAGGGTAGGCAAAAAAGAGGAAGACCCTCAGTGAGATGGGTTGACACAGTGGCTACAACAATGGGCTCAAACGTAACAACAATTGTGAGGATAGCGAAGGTCAGGACAGTGTTTCATTCTGTTGTACACAGGGTCGCTATGAGTCAGAACATACTCGACGGTACCTAACTACAACATAAAATAAACAATAACACCCAAAAAGAATGTGCTCCATAGAACAAATAATTATACGAGACCAAAATGGCAACATTTGCCCAAAAGTAAAAAGATGAGAAGGCAGGAAGGAGTAGGAAAACTAGACAAAAGGTAACGGGGAATCCAGGATAGAAATGGGAAGAGTGCTAACACAGTGTGGGTATTACAACCAATGTCATGGAACACTTTGTGTACAATTTATTGTATGAGAAACTAATTTGCTCCATAAACTTTCATCTTAAACACAATAAAGTATTTTAAAAAAAGAAGAAACATCTCAAATCAATAACCTATCATTATAGCTTAAGGAACTAGAAGAAAATGAGCTAATTAAACCTAAAGCTAGTAGAAGAAATAATAAAGAGCAGAGTGAAGATCAATGAAATACAGAATAGAAAAACAATAGAATCAATGAAACCAGAAGTTTGTTCTTTGAAAAGATAAACAAATGGACAAACTGTTAGCTGGATTGCCTAAAGAGAGACAGAGAGAGAATATTTAAATTATTAAAATCAGAAATGAAAGAGGGGACATCACTACCAACCTTACACAAATAAAAAGGATAATAAGAGACTACTATGAACAATTCTACACCAAGGAACTGGACTACTCAAATGAAATGGACAAATTCCTAGAAACACACAAATTACCAAAACTGAATAAAGAAGAAATAGAAAATTTGAATAGACCCATAACAATTAAGGAGATTGAATCAGTAATCAAAAACTTCCCAACAAAGAAAAGTCCAGGGTAAGAGGGCTTCAGTTGGTGAATACTAGCAAACATTTAAAGAGGTATTAACACCACACCTCAAAATCTTCCAAAAAATACAAGCAGAGAGAACACTTCCAAACTCATTCTATGAGGCCAGCATTACCCCAATACCACAGTCAGACAAATCACAAGAAAAGAAAACTACAGGCCAATATTCCTTATGAATATAGATTCAAAAATTCTCAACAAAATATTAGCAAAGGGAATTCAGCAGCATATTAAAAGGATTACATACCATGACCAAATGGGATTTGTCCCTGGAATACAAACGTGTTTTGACACAGTAAAATCAATCAGTGTAATACACCACATTAACAGAATGAAGAAAAAAAAGAAACAAAAACCCACATGATCATCTCAATTGATGCAGAAAAAATATTTGACAAAATCCAACTCTCTTTCATGATAAAAACATATAATAAACTAGGAATAGAAGGAAACTTCTTCAAAATGATGACGGCTATATATCAAAAACCATAGCAAACATCATACACAATGGTGAAAGACTGAAAGCTTTTCTCCTGAGACCAGGAACAAGGTAAGGATGCCTACTTATGCCACTTCTATTCAACATAGCACTAGAAAAGTTCTAGCCAAGTAATTATGAAAGAAAAATAAATAAAAGATGTACAAATTAGAAAGAAGTAAAATTATCTCTGTTCACACGTGACAAAATCTTCTATGTAGAAAACCCAGAAGAATACACACACACGCAGACACACAAACTGTTACAGCTAATAAACGAATTCAGCAAAGTTGCAGGATACAAACTCAACACACAAATATCAGTTGTGTTTTTACATATTAACAATGAGCAAACCAAAAAGGAAATTAAGAAAACAATTCCATTACAATGGCATCAAAAAGATTAAATCTTAGGAACAAATTTAACCAAGGAAGTGAAAGACCTGTATAATGAAACTACAAAACACTGCTGAAAGAAATTAAAGAAGACCTAAATAAATGGAAAGACATCCCGTTGTCCGTAACTTGGAGGACTTAATATTGTTAAGATGTCAGTACTAACCAAAGTGCTACACAGATTCAATACAATTCCTATCAAAGTCCCAACAGCATTTTTTCATAAACAGAAAGAGCGATTCTAAAATTTATATGGAATTGCAACAGGCCCCAAATAGCCAAAAGAATATTAAAAAAGAACAAAATTGGAAGACTCACACTTTGCTATTTCAAGATGTACTACAAAGCTACAGTAATCAAAACTATGTGGTTTGGCATAACCAATGAACGTATAGGCCAACTGAATGGCAGAGAGAGCCCAGAAATAAACTCTCACATATATGGTCAATTGATTTTTGATAAGAGTGTCAAAATTATTCAATGGGTAAAGTACAGTCTTGTCAATAAATAATGCTGGCAAAACTGGGTATCCACATGCAAAAGAATGAAGTTAGACACTTACCTTACACCACATAAAAAAAATAAACTCAAAAATGGATCAAAAGCCCAAATACAAAAGCTAAAACTATAAAACCCTTAGAAGAAAATATAGGGAAAAATCTTTATGACTTTGGAATTGGCAATATCATCTTGGCTATGAGACTAAAAGCATAGGCAACAAAAGAAAATACAGATACATGGGATTTCGTCAAAACTAAAAACTTTTGTGTATCAAAGCACACTATCAAGACAGTGAAAAGATAACTCACAAAATGGGAGAAAATATTTCCAAATCATATATCTGATAAGGGATTAATATCCAGAATATATAACTCTTACAATTTAACAACAAAAAAACCAAACCATGCAATTAAAAACGGGCAAAGGACTTGAATAGTCATTTCTCCAAAGACATAACAATGGCTAATTAGCACATGAAAATATGTTCAAGTTCATTAGTCCCTGCTGCTGTGTTGAGTGCTGTAAAGTCAATTTTGACTCAAAGTGACCCCATGTAACAGAGTAGAACTGTCCCATACAGTCTTCTTGTGGCTATAAACTTTAGGTAAACAGGCAGCCTGGTCTTTCTCCCACAGAGTTGCGGGGTGGGTTTGAACCGCCAACATTTCAGTTAATAACTGAGTGCTTGACCACTGTGCCATCCTTAGTCATTAGGGAAATGTAAATCAAAACCACAAAGAGATATTACCTTACACCCAATCGGAAGTCTATTATCAAAACACCCTCAGAAAATAACAAATGTTGGCAAAGATGTAGAGAAATCGGAACACTTGTTCATTGCTAGTGGGAATATAAAATGGCTCAGCTGCTATGGAACAGTTTGGTGAGTCCTCTAAAAGCTAAACACAGAATTACCACATGACTCAGCAGTTCCACTCCTAGGTACATACTCAAAAAGACTGAAACAGGGACTCAAACAGATATGTGTATACCAATGTTAACTACAGAATTATTCACAATAGTCAAAAGGTAGAAACAAGCCAAGTGTCCTTCAACAGATGAATGGATAAACAAAATGTGATATATACATACAATGGAATATTATGCAGCCATAAAAAGGAATGAAGTTCTGATACAAACCACAACATGGGTGAACCTTGAAGACATTATGCTAAATGAAATAAGCCAGACACAAAACGACAAATACTGTATGATTCCATTTATACGAGGTATCTAAAATAGGCAAATTTATAGGTTCAGAAAGCAGAACTAAAGTAGAGATTACCAGAGGCTGAGGGGAGGGGAAAATGGAGAGTTGTTAAATGGGTATAGTGTCTGTCTAAGATGATCAAAAAGATCTGGAAACAGATATTGTGATGTTTATACAAGATTGTGAATGTACTTAATATCACTGAACGGTATACTTAAAAATGGTTAAAATGGTTAATTTTATGTTATGTAAATTTTACCACAATAATAAAATAAAAATTAAAAAAAAAAACTTTAAGTATTATACAAATATATCTTTAAATTTCTGTAACAAATAAATTTGGGAAAATATATTTTTGCTCACACACACACACACACACACACACACACACAATTAAATGAAATACAAATACCTGCCACATTTCTACCTTCCTTTTCAGTTCTTCCTTTTCTACAAACTCATTTAAATTTGCCAGGGCTTTGGCTGCCAGTATTCTCCTTGCTTCAACACTCAATTCAGTTTGCAAGGCAACCTGTGGAGCTACTTCAGCCAGATTTTCGCTCTCTTTGTTTTCATGTCCAATGCGGAATTTCACTTTAGGAGTAGAGTCACAGTCTGGAGGGGGGCAGCAAGTTCCACCACCTGCCAGGATGGACTCCTGGCCCCAACTGCAATGACTTTTGCACTGACAGTGGTCCACCTGTTGGTGAGAATGGTTTGGTTCCTTATGGACATTTACAAAGTTGGGTGTAACTGGTTCTCCAGGGTTGTATAAACCTGAGACACCTGAAGAAAAGGTTCTACTCCGCTGTATTTCCTTTGAAATATCCCTCCTCTGGAAAAGTGGTAATTCATCATCTTTGAGTCCTTCCAAACCTCCAAACTTAGCCTGATTCCAGAAAGAAAATGTATTGTGTACCAGCGTTTCTTTATTTAAATCTAGCTGTGGAGACTGTGGAATGTAACAATGGCTTATGATTTTCTGTTGCTTGAGGTTATGGCAAAGCAAGACTTGGGCAGGCACTGTCCATGGAGTCACACCTTGCTCCAAAAGTAACTCAGCCCGCTTTAAATCTGAGTCACTGTAGCTGAGCCGCCTTTTCAAACGAGTCAGTGGTTGAAGGCATTCAACATTCCTCCTCTTCCAAAGGGGATCAAGTTCTTGCTCAGTGGAAAGAAGGACATCCTGATTCTCAAAAGCTGCCGATGCTGCTGTGGGGGTGAAAGCATCTGATGTATCACTGTCATGCCTCATTAACTCTTTATCCAGTTGCACTGTGACCATCTCAGAAACTGTCTTTTCAATTTCAGCAGAGAGGTCTGGTACTTCTAACACTTCCTCCTTCACCACCGGCCTGTTCTCAGCTAAGTCCAGCAGCAATTTGCAAACTAGGTGAATAATTTTTGGCACATGTTTCAGAAGTCGTGCTTCATAACCATGAAGCAGATGACGCTGGCGGATCAGATATTGAGCTAAGGTGACAGCATGTGCTTTGGGATCACAGCAAGAAAATATATTGCGAAGAGGAATCAGAAACTGTGTAAATTCTCTTACACATAGTAGCTGTCCTCTAGTTTGTATGGAATTGGGTCGCTTTGCCCGAACAAATAGAATTGCTTGGTCAGCAGTCATTCTTGTTGCAAAAACTAAGTAACACGCTATTAAAACACCTAAAACGGTGAAGAAGAGAAGACTAGGGTGAGAAAAGCTATGTTTTTATTTACGCTTTGATGACTTAAAACTTGAATATGTGTTAAAGCATATAAACACAGGAATATTTTAAGGACAATCTGCAATTATAACTTTGTAACTTCTTGTACAGGTGTTTATTATTGTGTAGAAGTTTATCTATTTACTGTCTATAAGGCATCCTGTCCCTTTGACCAAGAACTTTCAGACAGCAAGGGCTGCCTTAGTCATCTCTTAGGTAGTAGTTAGTACGTGTGAAGTAGAGGAAGGGACAATTGAATGAACTGATTATCTGGGCCATCCATACTCCTTAAACCCCACTCCAGTATAGAAGGGTATCCTACTTTTACTTTTCACTCTGAGCAGTTCTTGACATTTTCCACCCAATCAGCCTACACACTTTGTGTTTGCAATCTGCTCCCCCGTCCCGCCCCATTGTCATCTTTATCATCAAGTGTTGGCACATTCCTGCCTGGCACTCTCCATGGCATTTGAGCATTTTTTTCTTTTGGGATTATTCACATTCATAATCTGCTACTTTTCTTCCTGACCATTCTTCTTCCAGACTGTGCCTACACTAATTTGTGTTTCTGTCCAGACCATGATATAACTCTATTTATCCATAAGCACTTAAAGAAGCCAGCCTTAACAATGTAAACATTATGTGTAACAGTATGTGTTTATGTGTTTTCTTGTTAATTAATATCAAGTTAAAAAATAATTAAAAGGTAATAATCAATTAACTGAAATATAATAATATAAAATTAAAAGGTAAATCCTTTTGGCATCGACATAATTCATCAAGTTTATGAGTATCTTGTCACATATAAAAAATTAGCAGCTCTGAAAATTGTATGTTTCCCCAGTACATTGTTGTTAGTTTCCATCAATTCCATAGAGTACAATATATTTTTCTCACTAGAACATGGCAAACCTTCAGTGTAAGTATAAAATATCTGCAGAGCTATCATGTGAAAGGGAGATTAAAAGTATTCTTTGTAAGAAAACTATAAAACACTACTGCATGAAACCCAAAGGGATCTACATAAATGGAAAAACATACCGTGCTCATGGATAGGCAGACTCAAAATTGTGAAAATGGCAATTCACCCAAAGCAATTTACAAATACAACGCAATCCCGATCCAAATACCAACAACATTCTTCAAAGAGATGGAAAAACTAATCATTAACTTTATATGG